GTACCTATTGTGTAATGGAGTGTATCTGTTGGTATTTGAATTTGTTCAACCATGAAGCCTCCGTGGTCTAATGGTTATGACGCTCACCTTGACAGCGAGAGGTCGCAGGTTCGAGTCCCGCCAGAGGCATTTTATTACACAATTTCTTTATTCATTTATTTACAGGACTACATTCGTTGAGAGATATGCTACACGATCTGTTATTATGTCCTTTATTCGAACACTCTATATACCTTTCTTTGATGATTTAAGTATATATATATATATATTAGGAATTTCGTTGTCTCTATTTATAATGAGAAAATTATTTATCAAAATATTTAATTTAATTTGTTTTTATTTTTGGATAGCTTCATGGATAATTTCACACGCCGCCAAAGCTGTGAGAATTGAATCTCAAACGCGGTAACGAAAGCTCTCTATTGACTCAAGTTACTACATGATTGTTTTATAATTTTGATAAAACTAATTTATTCTAATTTTAAAATATATTTTCCCTGAATTCGTGATTATTCGTCGTCATGCATGGACTAAATGCGTGACAAATTTAAGATCACGCATGAGTTTCCGCCAAATGCGTGTTACATCCAATATCACTTTGAAGCGGGACAGTCCTGCACGATGCGCGAGAAACGGTTGGTAATGCGTTTTGTAAGCCAGGAACCAACAGTATTTTGTTACGTTTCTTCACAGAGGGGGGTTCGTCCGAACTCCTTGAACCCCACTTGATCCGTCACTGCTTTCCATTGACACCAATCATGACCATGTTTTATGTGGTGCGTCAGCCATCTTGAAATTCAAAATGGCGGCCGATGACATTGGGAAAAAAATGGCACCTAACTTGTTTGAATTCAGCGCAGTAAAAATGATAAAATTAGTCAATAAAATCTATTTTTGCTCAAAAATCTATCTGGATTACATAGAAAACTAGCTTATATACTCGTTCTTATTTTATGTACCGGTACATTTTAAGTAAGTATATTTGCGATTATTTTTAAACAAATAAACACCTATTTTTTAATTATGTTCCATTCTGGCTTGAGTGACAGTAGTTTTTATATGTCTAGATTGTTGCTTGTCTAGAAATTATAAGTTTAAACACCAAAATCATATCTGTAGCTTATTTAGTTTCAATTTTATGCACATTTTAAATAAATTTGGCGGCCATTTTGAAAAATGGCCGCCATTTGTATACAAGGAGTAAAATCAAGTGTCAACAGGGCTTAGGGTAACCAGAAGGGATTAATTAGGATATCTGGCTATGTGGATTGCTTCTAACATTTCACTCCCCCTAACTCATTTTTTTCAGAATTTTTTTCTAGTCTAATTCAGTTTCTTAGGAAATCTGTCTTACGTATAAATGGTTAATGTTCAATAAAATACGACGTTCTACACGTTTATGTAAAAAAAGCCTCTTTGACGTAAATACCATTATTCATCATTCTATGCTTCTAAAGTTGGTGTTTTTTTTTCCTTATCTGAAATTATTTCAAGAATGAGCAATCAAGTGAAGATGGTTTCGGCTCACGGCGTAACAGAGGCCTGAGGTGGCCTGGCA